GCTGCCAGTGCCCTCACCACAGCCACTAACCACCAGCTGCAGGGGGTGGCTGTAAGCACCTGTCCCGGGTCTGAGGCCCCCAAAGAGAGCCTCATCTTTTCCTCAGGTCTGGGTCGTCCGTGAAGAATGCTAGCGGGGGCTTTTGTGGGCAGCCGGTTTGTGCCGGGCACCAGATGACACCCTCACGTTACACACTGATGTTCAGAGAGGGTTCGCGATTTTGTCTAAGGCCACATGGATGTTAGGTGACAGGCTTTGAACCTCGGCTGCCCGACCCTGAAGCCTTCGTGTGTCGGCGTCTCCTCCCGGGATCCGGGAGCCTCTGTGCACACGCTTTCCCGGATAAAGCGCCATTTGGGAGGCTTGCCTCGACCTCAGTGAGCCGGGCGCCCGTCTCCCCAGTGGACGTCCCAATCGATTTACCTTTTCTCACAACTTTGTAGCTTCCTGCTGCCTCTGTGTTTGAAGTCTCTTCCTCTGGATTCCTGTCCAGCTCGGGGGACTCCCAGATCCCGGAATTCCTGGCCCGTGGGGGCAGATGCTCCAGGGAACAGAGAGCCGTGTCCTCCTGCTCTGGCTGATCCCTCTCCGGCCTGGGGGAGCCGGGGTCGCGGGGCTGAGAGGCGCTGCTCACGAGGGAAGGCGTGGGTGTCCGGTCGGCCTCGGGCTCTCCGGACGCCTGTGCTTCCGCGGGGTGACCGGGCAGCAGGCCCCACAGGATCAGGCGCCGCAGGCTCTCCACTGGAGGGAGAGAAGGTGCTGGCTTCCCCCGCACAACCACGCCCAGGGCCGCTGCTCCCCTCCCCCACAGGGCAGAACCCGGAGCGGACTCTGCGTCCCTTTTCCTCCAGCACGGCCGGAGAGAGCGTTCCAGCAGGTGGAGGGTAGAGGGGTCTGTGGGGCCCGGAAGGCACTCACCATCTTGGAGGGCTGCATCAGCGAGCCCTTCCGTAACCAGAGGTCCTGGGAGGGACAGGAGGATGGGACCCCTGGTCCTGCGGCCCCTGTTCTCTGCACCCAGGGCTGCGGGAGGGTGGGACAAGGCACCCAGCTCCTCCTCTGTGCTGCCCTCCTGCTCGGGATCCTCTAGCCGGACCGGGTGCTTCCCCTTGACCCTCTGCTGTGGCCCAGGGCCTGCTTTGGGCGGGAGGACAGCATAAGGAGGGGGAAGGAAGGCACCTGTGGGCGGACCCCATCCACACCCAGCTCTGGGTTCAAGCGGCTGAGAACGTGGACTCATTCCACGAATGTTTAGTGAACCCCTACTATGACTACAACCGGACACCGTCCCGAACCCTTGGCAGACGTCGGGGATGACACCCAGCTCCCTGCCAGTGTGGAGCTTAAGCTCTAGTGGACAGACACAGAGGAGTAACACAGTACAGCGAGCTCTCCAGGCGAATTAGAAGGGAGACAGCACTGTGGGAAAGACACGGCAGCGCGTAGGCCAGGGGGCGGGGGCGGGCGGGAGCACCGTTTACCTGCAGCCGCAAGGCCACAGAAGGCGCGTCGCCGCAGAGGCAACGTCTGCAGGGACCCGAAGGAAGTGAGGAGTCCACCAGGAGATTTACCCACGGTATCCCACGGGTGTGGCCTTCTCCATGGAAACGCCCAGCTGGAGGAGGCGGGCCCCCCCCCCTCCACTGTGGAACGCCGGTCACCCGGAGAGCCGGGGTGGGGGCCTCTGTTCAAGTGAGCTCGTCCACACTGGCTCAGGTCTACTCTCCTTCCCCTTCTGGACACACCCTTCTCACTCCTTTCTCTATTCTTATCCAAACCTCACGCTTCTGGCCCCGACATCCTCTCCCATCACCCCGCACCCACACCCGACCACCCCCTGACCTGTCCCACCAACAATGGCCCGGTGGGCTCCCACAAGGACGGTTCCAGGGACACACCTCCAGACAGCTCCTCAGGTCCTGGTTCGCCGTGGAACACTTCCGAGCCATCCAGTCCCACCCTGCGGGGACAAACCCCCAGAGGTCACCCGCCGCACTGCTGACGCCAGCCAGGAGGGGTGAGCTCAGACGCCGCCCTGGCCTCCTGCGTCACAACGGGCAGTGAAGGATGGTCCGACAAAGGGAGGTGGCAGGCTTCAGCACCTGCCACGGGTCGGCCACCTGGAGAGCAGGGTGGGTGCTGGCCGGCGTCTCCTGGTCCCGATTCTATACCCCCCACCCCGGCGCAGGCATGGTCTCCCTGAGGGCCAGATTGGGGGGAGCAGACAGGGACTGAAGGCGGAGGCGTGGGGACGACTGGGGGCCTGGGGGGTGAGCACCTGCTGGGTGTGAAGCTCTGGTGGGCCGGCTCCTGGGCGCCGGTGGGTGGGGGATGGGCGGGTGCCGGGGCGGCTCCGGGGCGCCCGGTGGCGTTCCGCACGGCCTCCTCCAAGAGCTCCATCCACCTGTGGCTCAGCAGGGGCAGAGAGGGCCGGTGGTAAACACAGGGTCAGGCACGCCCCCCGCAGGCAGCCCTCCCCACAGGCGTGTGCAGCCACCCACAGTGGCCCTGTGCCGTGCTCTGGGCCGAGCGGTCCCCGTCTGCTCCTTGTCTTTAAACGGCCCCCAGACAGGCAGTAAGACCCACAGGTGACAAGCCTGACGCTGAGACGCTGACTCAGTCGAGCTGCCTCGTGTGGCGGCAGCGAGGGAACGAGGGGTGGGTGACGACCCCGGAGGCGGATGCGCTTGGTGGGAAGGAGGAAGAACCCCAGTGCAGGGAGGAGGAAGGGACCACTGACCACGCGGAAGACCCCTCGGGGGCAAGGACGGCGGTCCCGCGAGCCCGCTGCGCCTGCCCTGTCTCCCTGTCCCGCGCCCACGCCCCATCCTCCGCCCCTCGGCCCGGCCTCACTGCCCACCACTCACACACGCCGCCCTGGCCCCTCGATTCTTACGTGTTCTTGTCTGACGACGTCAGAGCCACCAGCTCATAGATCTGGGGGGGGCCCAGCTCGGAAGTGCAGATGATGAAGAAGGCCCTTTTGTCTGTGCGAAGGAAGGGGGAAGGGCCGCGTGGAGGTGGCAGAGCCGTGACGGCGGCCCCCGCCAGGGCCACAAGGTGCTGGAAGCCCTGGCCCTCGACACGGGACGGGGACCAGAGCAGAACACGCAGCTGGCCACCGGAACCACGCGGGGTCGCGTACAGGAAGGCCAGAGGCAGTCCTGGACCCTCAGGCCATCCCCGCGGCGGCCCCCGCTCCCTCTGCTCTCCCTCACGCTCACCGCCGCCCGCGACTCCCGGAGGCGGGGTGGGGGGGGGCATCGCCCCAAACCACGGGTGGAGAGAGCGGGCCCAGGGCCCCTTCCCGCACACACGGGGCTTCTCACCGAACCGCCTCTGTCCGCCGGGCCCCGTCCCCCCACCCCGCCCCGGGCCACGTCCTCCCGCTCAGGGGCCAGCAGGGAGGCCCGAGGCCAGGCCCGCAAGGCACCTGTGGCCACGGAGCGGATGAGCACGGCGTTGAGCTTGAGCACAGGGCTGAAGGTCTGCTTGCTGTCCGAGGAGCCGGCGGCCGTCTTGCTGTGGCACTTGAGCAGCAGCTTCTCGTCCTGCTTCTGCAGCAGCACCAGGAGGTCGTCCAGCAGCAGCACGTGCAGGTCTGGGGGGCAAGCGCCATGAGGAGTGCCCCCGCTCCCCCCCAGCACAGGGACAGGGTCCTGTGCCCCCTCCCCAGGCGGGGCCGCAGGAGCCCTGCCGGGCCCCGGGCGTGCGGTCCAGGGGGCAGGGCTGGGGCACCCACCCAAGGTCTTATCCTTGCTGGTCCTCCAGGTCAGGGGCCCCTCGTGGATCATCTTTCTGGCTGTCAGATCCAGGCTCTGTTAAGGAAACGTCGTTTGTTCATTCGTACCTTCGTTCGACCCAGTGCACGCCACACTGCTGAGGAGCTGGGGGTCAGCGGCAAGCAAGAGGCGGCCTCTGCTCTGACGCTCGAATAGAGGCCACGGGCAGGACAGAAGCCACCGTGAGGCTGTGCGTCCCACCGGGGGGTTCGCCAGCGGCTCTGCCCGGGCCTCTCCGCAACCCGACCTCTTTTTGTTTCCTCCCCGGCCACCTTCACCTGGACCCCGGCTCCCAGCCCCCGCTCGGCCAGGAGAACTCCAGCATCCCGTCCCTGTCGGCAGGGCCGTCTGCTGGGTGTTCGTGGGGCCCCGCTGCGGCACCCCGTCCCTCCGGGCCCCGGCCGGTTCCGCTCCCGGGGGTGCCCCCAGTGTGTGCGGCGGTCCCCGCCTCCCACCTTGAACTCCGCCGCCAGAGGGTTGCTGGCCCTCTCCAGGGAGGTGGTGTCCAGGCGTTTCTGGTAACCCTCCAGACGGTGCCGGTTCTCCGTCTGCTTCACGGCCTCGTTCACGTACTTGAGAATCTCCCGGCACTGGTCCCGGGCCCGGCACAGCTTCTCGTGCTCAGACGTGCCACCTACCGATCGGGGCAGAGGCGGTGCTGGGGGGTGCCTGCCTGAGGAGCGTGTCAGAGTCCAGCACACCCGGCCGCCGGTGGCTGCAAGCCGACGGTACGGGCACAGGTGTGTTGTCTTGGCCTCACTCGAGGGCCTCAAACGTAAGGGGCCCTGGCGCTGAGCGTCCTTGGGATCAGAGCACCGTCCCGGAGACACACACAGCTCTTGGGAATTGCCAGCTGGACCACAACCAGCTCCACAGATGGGGGGAGGGCAGGGCCTGGCTGACGGCAAGGGTGCCTCCAGGATGCCCGCCCAGGTCAGGAGAGGGTCCTCACACTCCATACCCTGACTCCAGCACCCCAAATTCGAGGGCAGCGGGGGAATGCTTGGGACCCCAGAGAGTGTCCCTGGGGCTAGCTCCTCTCAGCACGGCCACTGAACTTCTACAGTCAGCACACGTGGCTGTACGTCTGTGCGCTGCACAGAGGCGTCAGGCAGGGGGACGGACAGATGCGGGGGGCGGGGGGGGGGGGGGGGGGGGGGGGGGGGGGGGGGGGGGGGGGGGAGGTGACGGCAGCCGTGGCCCCGGTGTGGGACCACAGTCACATGGGAGTCCGCGTGCCAACCTCTTTCCATTCGGACGCTTTCCTCAGGTTTGCACCAAGGCCCCCACAGGCTGAGGGCGAGCCTCACACCCCCTCCCGCTGCTGAGCTTCTTCTCCCCAAAGCACGCTCATAATCGCGACCTCCCTCGAGACTGAGCGAAACAAGTGACTCGTGAAGGCCACAGAGCAGGTCAGCGCTAGAACTAGGTCTGAGTGCGGCCACCGCCTCGCGCTCCCTACCCTCCGTGTGCTTGAGGACGCTCTCCAGCAGCAGCGGGTACTTGGTGAGCCGCTGCATCTCCGAGATGATGAGGTCTCTGAGCTGCAGCCGCCGGCACTGAGGGTGGCTCTCGGCCTCCTGAACAGCAGGGGGCACAGACGGAGAAAGAGGACAACCCGCGGTCAGGGCCTGGCTCATGGGCTCGGGACCCGGATGGGTGTGAAAAGGCCAAGTGGGTCCTGGCCCCAGAGGGTCACTCAGAAAGGTTTAGGCTGGTGGGGGCCGGGAGATAACCCACGGAGGGGATGTGGTCAAACGAGTGCCACAGAGCAGGTGCTATGCCCACTTTACAGACAGGGAAACCGAGGCCCAGCTACGTGCACACAGGAAGCAGGAGGCGAACACGGCCTTCTGGCCGCTAAGCCACGTCCGTCCTGAGGGCCGGCACGTGCCAGTGTTTCTGAGGCGGTGGCGTGGGACGAGGGGGGTGTGGATGGGCGTGGGGGTAGCTGGGCTGCCCTCCCGGGTGGAGAGGAGAGGCCGGCGGGCCTGCCCCGGGGCTCCGGGAAAGCAGCCCGGGAGATCCCTGGCGACCCCGGTCGGCTTTACGGAGCTACGCCCGCACTGACTTCTGCTGGCGGCCAGGCCGCGGCGGGGAGGCCACACCTGCATGAAGAGCTGGAACCGGCTCTCCTTGCGCTGCTTGGTCTTGATGAGCGCCAGTGCTATGGACTGGTGGGAGCAGAACCGCGCGGCCACCTGCTGGAGCTCCTCCCGGGCGGGGCCGTCAAACTGCAGCACAAGGGACGCCACCCGGGCATCGCACCCCGGCCCTCCCACACCCTCCGCTGCCGCTCCCGTGGCCACGGGAAAGGGGGACCCGTCCCCTCCAAGCATACCCGAGCCAGCATGAGGTCACCGATGTCTTTGATAATGGGGCCCTCCTCCCGGAGCTTCCTCATGGCCTCACACCAGGAATCTGGGGCAAGGAGAGAAGAATCAGAGAGGCCCGGGGTAGAGTTGCACCGCCGGACCCTCCGGGACCCGGGGAGAAGGGCTTTGGGCGGCAGTGCCGAGGGGAAGGGTCCGGCAGCCGTTCTGCTCCTGGGGGACCCGGGAGGCTGGCTTCAGGCCGCGTATCAAGCTGTCCGCCAGAGAGAGCAGGTGAGGGCTGTCTGCTCAGGTAGGCCCTGGCACACGGTCAGATGGGGACAGACACCTGAAGGCTGGCCGGAGAAGGGGTGTGGGGGAAAGACAGCGGGCGGGGAGGACGGCCCCTCACTGTGGATCTCTATGAGCTCAGGCAGGTTGGGGAAGAGCCGGGCCAGCTCCTCCCGGGGCATCAGGTTCTCCTTCTTCATTCGCTGGTAGAAGATCAGGTCCAGGACCCGGAGCGTGCGCAGATGGGAGGCTTCTGTCACAAACAGCTCTGAGCGGGGTGGTCGCGGGATGGGAGGGACACAAAGCACAGGGGGTCAAGCGAGTATGCGAAGTCATATGACTGCCACCCCAAACCACTTCTGAGGAAGCTGAGCGCTGGTGTCAGATCGCAGGGCGACGTCCCACCCCAAGGGCCATGCGGGAATGGCGACACGGACCCGGTCCCGTCCCCGGGGAGCCACCTGGCCTACTACCACCCTGTGCCCCCTACTCGCCCGAGACAGAGGGGCACATGCTCACCGTTGATGACCTCCTGCCGGTCGATCTCTCTCTGGCTTAGCCCAGCCACCACGTCCTTGCCCACCACGTGCTGCCAGTTCTGGGCATCCGGCTCCAGCTCCAGGTCAGACAGCTGGCCCAGATCGTCCTCTAGGAGGTGGGGGAGGAGGGCGTCTGCACCGAACCCCAGACTGGGGGACTCGATGCTCCTGGGGAAGAGGAGGAAGGACTCAGCTCGGGGTCCGCCCCCGTCTCTCCTGCCCGGAGCCCGCGGGAAACGGCGGCCGTGGACGGGCACACCTGGCCGGCCGCTTGGGGCCGGGACACCCCACTCACCTGCGGCCCATCTTGGGGGTGAAGGGCGGGGTTGGGTTCTCCAGAGACCTGTGGAGAGAAGTCAGCCCTCAGCCCCCGCTGCCCCTGCCCCGAGACGCCCCAGCTGAGCTGCCCGAGCCCTGCCCACCTGGTGGAGAGGCTGGAGGCAGAGGACGAAGCTGACTGGTGGAGGCGGGCGGCCTCCGCGGCCGCGTCCATATCTACGTCGCTGCGAGAGCGGGGCACGTTGTCCGCCTTCCGAGACCGCTTCATCTCCTCCCGGCCCTTCAGGCTCTCCGAGCGGCCCAGGCGAATCTCTGAGCGTGAACTGGGGAAGGAGGACCGGCAACCTTGGGGTCCCACGTCCCGGACGAGCTCTCCTCTGCCACCAAGACTCCAGGTGCCTCCCCTGCCCCTCCCCAGTCCGGCTCGATGGACAGAGGCTCTCATCGTCCCCATGGCCCACCAGGAAATGAGAGCGGGGACCAAGAGATCAGACTTGTGGTATGCCACAGACCCCAAACCCTCCAGGAAAGCTGTGGATGCCGCAGGCCCTTATTGGGGACCATGAGGTCCTCGCTCCTGTCCTGGACTGTCTGGTGGCCGGACCATCTTTCCCTCGACTCCAGAGCAGGTCAGCTCCCACCGCGGACCCCGCTTGAGGCAGATCTCTTCCTTTCATAGGACTTTCTTCTACCGAGAAGTACAGGCACTTCCTTCACACTTGTCCTGGCCTCCTCGCAGGCCTATCAGAGATTCTATCCACGGATGGGCTCCTGCCCCTCCAGCTGTGGTGTGGATTCTTCTGTTCTCATCTTGTAGCATCCTTCTGGAGCTTCCACGTCCCCTCCTGGGGGCAGGCTGGCTGGGGAGGGCCCATCTACTGACCGGCAGGAACCCGCTCCCTCATCTGCCAGGTTTGGCCAAAAGACCCACAGACAAGACAAGACTCAGCATCTCCAGTCCCAGAGACCCCTCAGTGTGAAGAGACGCTGACGGCCAGGTGTTCTTTTCCGCATCCTGCAGAGCATGAGCCGGGAGACAGCTGGTGTCTCTGAACCCTGCTGCCCCAGGATGGTGCCTCCTCCCTCCACGGCCCTGCTGGCTTGGTTCTTACTGACCTGCTCACTGATTTGCATCCTGGCCCCCTGCCTCCAGGACCAGGGACGGCCTACGGAGTCTGGGCAGCTCCTGAGGGCACAGCAGGCTGCTGTAGCAAAGGAGGCCAGCACCCTGAGCTCCATTTATCTCGTGTCTCTCAACTGCCAAGGACTCAAATGGAGCTATCCCTGAAGCCACGCTGCCAGCCGACCGCCTCAGACCACCCCCTGGGGGCTGCTAGAACGCCTCCAGCCAAGACCACTCACCCAGCACTTGCACCAGTAACCCACAACAGGCCACCTGAGCACCAGGACAAGCCCCCACAAGCGAGTAACCTTCCTCCCAACAAGTGGGGCGACCTACCTCTGGTCCCCGATCCCTAGAATACTGCCTTCTAGACCCGGGGGTTCTTATACCTGCCGACCTCTGACCCACCGTTTCTGCTAAGATTGCTGGTGAGCTTACAGTCAGCAAAGCCAACGGCTCCCGTGGACAGTGGATTCGGGATCCTAGGGTCTCAGGGCATGTATAGCTGGCACCTTCAAGAGCACTATTTACGAACGGTCTCAACTTTTTTCTCACAACATTGGTATCTTGTCTCTACACGCCTGATGCATCTGTAACATCGGGCCTACACATCCCGTAATTTATACATTTAATTCACTCAATGAGATTACACAGAGCTCGGCCTCTTGGCTCAGGACAGATCTAACCTTCACCTTCCCTTACAGCTTTGTTTGTTCTCATGACGGCAGAATCTCCACATGCACTGAGCTTACGAAGGTTTGCTACAAGCAGGGGTAACCTTGTGTGGGAGCAGGAACGGCGGACTTGTAGTTTGGTCAGTTTCCCAGGTAAAATGGTTTGATTCCCTTGGCCACTCCCCAGTGACCCAGTGACCTGGCTTGCGCCTGCTCAGTAGGCGCGCACGTGTATGATTTCTGTGCACGCAAGACCCCGTCTACGATGACTCAAGGGTGACTCAGGGAAGGTGCACGGAGCTTTCTGACCACAGGTGGTTCTAAGTGTTGGCTGGAGAATTTCAGACATGACGTGGCTGCTGTCGTGCCGCGGTCCGGAACAAGTCCGGGAGCACGCCTCGATGCCAGAGAAGGGTTCTCACTGGAACGTGGCCAAAGATGGAGAATATACGAGATGCCGGAGCTGCAAACCCTCTTTTCTTCTCGAAAGTGCTTTGGAACCAGCAGAGCCAAACTCCGGTGCTCTTCCTCACGGGCGTCGGGGCCAACCTTGCCTGACCCCTGCATCCCCGGGACTGTCCCTTGCCACCCCTGCCCCAGTCTTCTCCAGCCTTGTCAGGTAGGGTGTCGGGATTAGCTGCTGTGTAATATCCTCTAGCTGCTGAGTACCCAGGCGGTGAGTCCAAAGGAAACGTTCAAGACACGCAGTCCCTGGGCTGGGAGGTCGGGGGCCCTGCTCGGTCTTCTGGTGGCCTGACGGCCGACACTGGCGTGTCTTCAGAGCAGCTGCGAGTTCTGCGGCGGGGATCTTATGGTCTAACGGAGTGGGGGGAAGCACCTGGAAATAACCCTGCAGCACACCCTGCCCAGGCTCCCCTCCGTGGGAAGCCGGCAATTCCCATGTGGCCCTTGCTACCTGTCGCTTTCCAGCAGGTCCTCGGGAAAGCTTCCTGTGGAGAGCCGCTGCGTCCCGGGCTCTGGGGCGTCATACGGCTGGTTGTTCTCAAAGTGCTGAATGATGTTCCTCACGTTGCCTGGTTTGACTGGAAGCAGAAAGACAATGAAGGGTACTCTGCTTTCTATTCGGGACCCTCGCTCCCGTTAGCCCAGAAGACAGAGCAGTGAGCAAGCACGGATGACAGCAGCACCGGGCTGGGGACTGGGAGACGTGGGGGCTGGTCCTCTAGACTACTTCCTGGTCCTCTCCCAATAACCCGGAGAGTGACAGGGGCAGTCCCTTGCTCTCTCACATGCAAAATGAGACCATTTGGAGGTATATTTCCTGTGGGTATTCCTTTCGGCTCTCACGTTATTACAATGACTCTCAGGCTTAATTAACGATGAGATTTTTTCCAAGAACCGAATACAGAATAGAATACCAGCCAGGAGCACCCAAAACGCATCTGTCTGTAATTTGGCCAGGTTGCCAGGTTATATCAATCATTTCCCAAGTTTATATTACTTTTAGAGCTCATTATTTGTTCTTTTTTTTTGACTTTCCTTCCTGTCCTTCCAGTCCCGGCCCCTGCCTCTAGTTGCTGCCATCACTGTGAATCAGACCCTTTATTATCAGTGAGTGGGGGTGGTCTTAGGTAGAACAGAGAAAAGGGGTCACTCTCTGGCATTCAAATTCCAGCCCCTCTTCAAAGCTAAGACAAAAGAAGGCTGTTCTTGTTCAAAGAAACAGAGAGAGCAGGTATGAAAGTCACGAGGCTCATGGGATACCCGCAGAAGGTTCCTCCTCAGAGATGCAGTGACATCAGCCCAGAGCTGGGCTTCAGAGGCCGATCTGCCAGAGACCAACAGGAAGGCTGGGGGTGGGCAGGGAGGCAGGTGAGGCCCTGATCCTACCCACACTAGCCAGAGTCCCACCCGTGCAAACCTACAAATCTCCCTAAGTCTCTAAACTCAGGTTTCATGAGAAAGTTTCCAGGCCAGAGCAAACAGAACATCCAGCTGGTCTCTTCAAACTTCGTATCATTTAGGCAGGTGGCCGGGGTAACAGTTTTCCAGAGATGCGTAACAGGAGGCCGTGTCAGGAGCAGGGGCTGTTAGCATCACGCCCACTCTGGGGACTGGGGCCTGAGCTGCCTGCCACAGGGTCAGCTCTGCAGTCACAGCCTGAGCAGCCCTGCTGGGTGATGGCACGAGGGCCTGGGAATACCCTGTAACAGGAGGCCGCCGGGCTGAGCCCACTGCTCCCTCCCGTGTGTCGCCTGTGCTCGGGGTATAGTTCACCCTGTGACGACAAACGGGGAATGCTCTGAGAGGCGGCACAACTGAGGAAAGTCAGTGTAATGGGGGGAGAAAGGCAGAAAGGAACGCAATTTTTTAAATGAGCACAGTTTTCACTGGTGTCCCCTGTTCTCCTTCCTCCATTCTCTGGACGACAATGAAATGGAAGGGTTAAGTACATTCCATATTATTAACAGTCAGTTATGGTCGCTGTTAAACGGGGGCAACAGCTGATGACTCTAACGGTCACTCAGTGCTGACCCTTCCTCCACCTCTGGGGGCTGTTTGGTCTTTAGACACGGACATAGGCTTTGCTGATGTCCTGGGAACTTGAGAAGCAAGGCCACACCAAATCATTAGATTACAATGGAAAGACCGAACTCAGCCCTGGTGAACACCCAGGCCCCTTACCCTGTCCTTGGGCTCCCGGCCCCTCGAAGCTGCTGCTTCCTCCTGCCTCCACTGGGGCAGCGTGGACAGGAGGAAGTGTGTGTTAAGATCTAAGGGCCTGGGTCCCAAGGCCATTCTTTTATTTTTCCATTGTTTTATATGCCTTTTCTCAAAACTTAAAACCTTTTTTTTTTTTTTTT